TTCCACGGTGTCAGGCGACTTTCTGGCACGAGTTTGCTGATCGGTTGCGTGGCCCTGGGAATCGGCTACTGTGAACCCGTCGCCCTCATCTTCGGATGCAGTCGAGTCCTCGTCAGCACGTCGAGCACGGTATCGCATTCTCCTCGGCGGGGGTTTCCTCGGCTTTCTGGTCGTTGAGGGCACTTCGACAGACGCATTAGAGCTTTCGCGCTGCACAGGAATAGCTGTAAGATCTTGCGCGGCTGCCTTCTTTTTCATTGCAGCACGTTTCCTCCGCTCCATTTTCGTGGCCACGTCGTCGGATTCCTCTCCCGAAAGTTCGGGCTGGACCTCAGCACTCTTTCTTTTCCTCTCTTGTGATTCCATCATGCTTTCATAAATGTCCATCGGTTCCGGTAAGCCCCGTGTGTTTGTGGCAGGCATTTGCGGTGACTCCGGTATGGTGCCATCTTCGAGAGGCGCAGAGTTACTCGGGCTACGTTGGCGGTCGTAGGGCGCCGGGCCTTGGACTCGCAAAGCTTGAGGGCTCGAAGAAAGCAAATCGGGAGGTGATGTGACGTTGTACCGGTTCTTAAGAGGCGACGTCTCAGCTATGTTGGGTGATATGGAGTTGTGGGCGTACACGTGTGGCGATGGTCTCGAAGAGGTAGGGCTGAAATGCTTCACTGCGGATGAAAATTGCGTCTGGCCAAAAAGTTGGGATCCTGCTAAGGCAGGGTCACCTAGCTTCTTTCCAGCAAAAGGGTTATGACGTTGCGCTGGGGTCTGTGGCGGAGGGACGGTCGGCAGCAAAGGGGACTGGCCGTCGGTACGCTGAACAGAGGATTGTTGTTGAGAACTGGAAGTGCGATTCCGCCAAGCTCCACGGGTGTGTACAGGGGCGGCATGGTCAGGGAAAGATGAAGGCTCTTCGTCGCCCTGAGTATCACCCTGGGTGTCGCCTTGAATCAGATGGTCGAGATTGCCGAAGTCGACAACGGCGGAATCCTCCTCGTGTATCGCTGGCTGCTCGGCGCTGTGGTCCTGCGAAATAGGACTCGTCTCGACAAATGAAGGGCCTTCGTAGTAGTTCTCGTAGTCCCGATCGTTGTTATCTTGCGTCGGGGATTGCTGCGAGACGTCCATCTTGACTTTCGTGTAGAGCGCGGGGCCCGAAGCGTTAGGGAGGGCATTGACTTTCCTCGCGGTTTTGTCGGTAGTGCATGATGCGGGGACCTCTTCAGGTATCGGATTTATCGCGTCGTAGTCGACATGAGGGTTTGGGTCTGCTGCAAGACAATTCGAGTGGTCTCGAATGTTGAGTCTTGTCAAGGCCAGGCTCGCAGGAATTGTGTCGGAGTCTGGGCCGCAATCTGGGTCTGCAGCATCCGCAGCGGTAGCGACAACAGGCAACGCGGGTGACGGAGTTTCGTGGTCGAGGTCGTGCTGGGGTAGCTATTCTGGTCAGTGCCATCCCAGCCCCATGTGAGACATCCTTGTCCAGTCGGTGGGGGTGTGACAAACCGCGTTTTTTGTACTCGTTACCAGGGGAGCAGTGCTGGGGAAAGATTGGGCAGTGCGCTGACTTTCGCTTTGGCTTAACGGATCGGAATGGCGCGAAAGAAGACTGTCGCGATGTCGTTTATTGCCTCTCGAAGTGTATCGCGACGCGGTGGACGAGGCTCTTGGGGGCGAGCTGCTTGTCTATGGTGGTGCCCGAAATAGTTAGCGCAAAGTCGCAGCAAGGCCTGTGTCGTAGCAGTGCTAAATTGTCGCCATCAATCCAGTCCAATCCAATCCATTGCCCAGCAGCAGAGCCACCAGACATGCTCAGGGCAGGCAGAAAATACGCCTCCACTGGGGGAAACGCCACCCTAGAAAAAGCAAACATGGCCGTACGTACCACGCCGATCCCGTATTCTGCCACATATCGGTCGAAAATGGCTTGGCTGTCTTGCGATTCGTTATTGCCCTCGATAGCCTTCTTCTCTGCCGCTTGAAGGGTTTTGGACCGCGGCATCGTGACATTCCATTGTCGAACCGGCTTTGACTTGGTGAACAGCAATGTGAATGACGCGACAGTCAGGTATTCAAAGATGGTGGGGGAGGGAAAAGGTGGCAGGGGTCGAGGACGCGAGCGGATCAGACACGAGACCAACACGGTATCACGTGACCAGCCTCACTACGTAATGGCGGCGGAGCTCACTTACGTAAGCCCGGCGCTGCATAGACCACTCGCTCCTGCCATTGCGTCTTTCAGCGCTTCCTTCCTTTGAATAAAGTGAGGAAGGTACCTTACCTTGCTAGCCAGGAAAGAGCTTCTTAGGATTTGACGGAGAAATCTTCGAATGTTTGAAAATCCAAAAGCTTTCACAATGGAGAGGCAATCACATAGATCATTGTATGGCACAAAGAAGCCTGGATTCTACTTATTTTGCGTCTATTGATGGGGCCCCTATCAGCTGTACTGAAGGGTGGAAGGCTTCGGTATTAAGGAGCAGATCACGGATTGGCTTTGTCGCAGCTCAATCAAAGGGTCCTTGGCTTGACAGTAAATCTTTCAAAGCATTAAGTGATCATTGGTGAGAATCATGGTTCAAAGAATTCTTATGTTCGCCATGCAGCGCAAGCCCCAACGTATCGGAATGCAAACATAACTAAGCCAAGGCCGGCCATCTCAGGTAGTAGAAACGCAGAAACCTAGAGTTGCTGTTGACTTGTCTTGACATTCAGAGGAGACGCTCTCGCAGGTAAGTATCCCCACAAGTCTGACATCTGAATGCGCGATAGGGGAAATGACGAGGTAGAAACCGCATCCATATCAATATGTAGTTGACCAGTCCCTCAGCCATGCAACATAGATATTTGAGCAAGCGTAAGACGTTACTCAAACAGAAGGTTACGTTCAAAGGACGTAAGACCTTTTCAAGTACACTGGAAAACCGCCGACGAAAGCAGAATCATTAGGAGGGTGGCCAGTCCCAAACCGGCTATGCTCTCCCTACTCCTCCTACTCCTCTTGTCAATATGTCAATATGCTAATATCTTGAGCACAGGACAAATTACACCAGCAAGCAATGCTCCTGGCCGCTGTCGGCCGGCCTCTCACCCACGGAAGTGACAAGTATTATAGATTTAAGTTACATGGCCTTGACCGAATCAAGTTGCAAGACTAAGGCATGTAAACCATCACCGGGATTTCATCGCAGCAGAGAAAATTGCCAAGCATCGCGGCTGAGCAAGCCAAATATTCACTCATGGGACTGACATCTACGATCTGACAGCCGTAGATACATGTACAATCAAGCAAGCCTCAGCTATTACCACAGGCGGGTATATAACTTCACGTCACTCAATACTGCATTTGACAGCGCCATCCATGGTATTTCCTATGGCAGAGATATGTACGTGGAGTGTGCTCCTAGGTATGGAAATAGATACAGGAAAGGTAGAGCGCAAAATGTGCTCATGAACTATGCCGCTTCGCTCGAATCATTCATGCCGTCATTTCAAGGATTGTAACTCAGTACCTCGAGGTTTCGGACTTGATATTCCGTGTCTGTGGTGGGGTTGTCAGCCATTTGAGTTCGCGGATAAATTGGCAAGGAAAGCTTACTGCTCGTTGGGCCGGGCGAACCGGAGGAACCCTCCATTTGCAAGTTGATGATCCTGTTTACCGCTCGTGTCAGCAATCTGTTAAACTTCACGCTTAGAAACCAAGCTTTTACTCACAAGTACATAGGCTTCCCAAAATACCCGGCGCCCACCTGCGTCGTGATGAGGTTGCCATCCATGTAGAACTTGGCCTGCACGTCCTTGCCGTTCAAGTCCCTCGTCTCGCACTTGAACGAGTGGAAGTTGCCCGGGCTGGGGTACGTCACGTCCTTCGCGGCGACGATGGAGCTCGTGTTGAACGTGTTGAAGCTGACCTTGCCGCTGCCCTTCCACTCCGCCATGTCGATTTCTGGCGGCCACCCCTGGACGGCCGTCAGCCAGAAGGCGGGCCACGTGCCCTTTGTCGTCGTCGCCTTGATCTCGGCGCTAAAGTCGTACCCGCCCCCGCGTGAGACGTTGAAGTGCTCCTTTGCATGGATCGCTCCGCTTAGGTAGTTGATGTTGATCTTTTGCCCGCCGTGCGTCGCCTGAGGCTGCCCGCTGACCTTGTTGGCTGTAATGGTCAACGTGCCGCCGCTGAATTTGACGTTGTCCTTTGTCATGCGAGCGCCGCCGTTGTGGTCGGTGCCCCAGGGGTAGAGGTAGTTCCAGTCGGCGTCGAAGTTGGATTGGGAGTCGAAGCTCGTCTTAGGGATTATGGTACGGACGGCCCCGACGGGGAGCACATCTGCCACCAGCAGCGCGCTGCCCAGGAAGAGGGCGGCTTGGTTGAACCAGACCATTTTTTTCAAAGAGAGACTGAAGACTTGTTCGCGCTTGAGATGGGCGATGAAGCTCCTTCGACTAATAGACCAGACGAACGGGCGGGAAACGGGCTTGGTCAAATACCTCTTCAACCAAGCTTCAAGTTGATGGCAGTCGGCTGATGTCTATTGCTAGCTCGGCTTCACGTTCCCTGTCAAAGCCCCGCCAAACCCTCGAGATAGATGAACTTACCTCCACACCGTCAATTTTTCCACCCACTGCCAGGGACTGGAAACATCGCTTTTGGAAAGAGGCGAAACACTCCGACGCAGGGGCCCCCCTATGACATGACGATCCGAGGGCCGCTAAACTTAGACGGCTCTCACGGCGAACAACATAGGGATATTGGAGGGCACTTTCATTCTCAAACGGGATTTCCAACCAAAAGCCTCAGGGTAAACACGAACTGAACAGGGTCATTTTGAACCGGGGTGGGAACGATGGTCGTCCGAACTTAATGGCACATCAGGCCGAAGGTTGCACCTAGCCCCCGCAACCATGCATTGCTACGTCGTATCGTGAAGGAGTTGTCGGCACTTGCCTATTTGGCGGTAAAGCAGGACTGGATTTTGCACCAGTCGCCGTTGGCAAAGGATATAAAATCACCGGTTAAGCTTCTTCAGGTTCCCGTGGGATGCGTCGGCTGTGCCTGTGATCGCCATGTCAGCTCGGGTGACCGGTCAACGGGCGGCCGGACGATCCTGCGCCCTTCCGGCACAAGAACCCCGACAATTCACCCGAGAGTTGCATGATTGGGGGTTTTCATGGGCAATAGAGCATATCATAAGTCCTCGAATATGAATTTGGATGGTGTTGTCCAATGTTCGTGGTAGACGAGCCTTTGGGAGAAGGTTGTTTCAAGCAAATTGAATGGGGTTTGAGTTGAGACGACTCCACTCGTCTAAGCGAGCCTGGACTTGAGGCGGCAGAGACTGCTTGCTGTTGGACGCAAGCTCAGGAGACAATGGTAATTTGACATTAGCCTTATGCGAAGATGATGAGCCTGATGAACTTGACATGAGAACTGCTTTTTTCTGTCGCCAGAAGTTATTTGCAGCCTACTGTCTGACATCCGGTCCGAGACCTAAGTCACGAAGTCACTCGCCAAGTCCAATAGGCACACACCAAGGCGATTCATGGACCTCGATGATGAAGAGATGGAAAGAGACTTTGGCATCACCAGTATTGCAGTCATCTATACACTGGAAACAACACTTCACCTTCCACACTCTGATGTCTCGAATCTTCGGAAATGATATACCCTAAACTAACCCAACGCCAATAGGTTTCCATCTCCTAAGCTATCTTCTAGCCGTCCCCATCCAGCCCGTCACAAGACAGTGACATCTCCCTCCCATGCATCCCTGACGGCATCTTCCTCACAACCAAGCTGTACTTCTTGATACGCAAGACCCAGCCTCTCATACTTACTTGTATCCGCTGGAGATCTTCCTAAAACAAGATAGGTCATGTCTACGAGCTTTTCCTCAGCGACAGCCCAGTCTCCAAGATGGAGCAATATGAGTGGCGACTCTGTGTCAGCCGGCTTAACCTCAGAGCGAGCTGGCGAGCGACGAACCGCGGCATCTTCCCCCTTCATGGTATCGTTCAAGCCCAACTGGAACCTCTCCAGACGTGCATCGGGATGGAACTCGACCGAGTCTCCGTTATTCTTGATTCCATACGACCTAAACCTGCCACGGCGTGTGGCAACTACTTCGAGGGTCGCTTGGAAGATCCGACCACGCAAAGTAATGTAACCGGCCGTCACATTTCCTAGCGGGTTATTGTTGCTGGTAGTAGTGCTGGCATCAACAGCGACAGCCTTAGAGACCCACTGGTTTGCCTTTGAACCTGGTTCAGCATACGGTCCTTTGAAAAAGTCGACCTGGCCACCAGCTGATGCCCATGAGAATGTTGGTATGTGGCAGTTGACCCGGTCTTGGGTATTCGCATCATCCAACTCCTCGATTCTTCTCTTTGGAGTGTACCACAAAAGGTCGTTGATGAGTTTGTCTTTCCAGAGTCCGGCAATGTAAGGAGACCCTGTCTTCTGTTGGAAAACGGTTGCCAGACCCGACAACGCAGGTAGTCTGTCACTTCCAAACGTAAGTTGACGTTGAAAGAATTCGCTGACAATATCACGCCACTGTCCAAACGCAACATGCGGACTGGTCATATCTTTGGGGGAAAATAAAGTCGTCTGGGTGTTTGTAGAAACTTCTTTGAAGGTGTGGCATTCGCAGTCTCTCTCAGTTTGGCAGGTCCACCACAACTCATGTTCTGTGTATGTCACAGTCCTGCGTGAGAGAAGTTCCTCCTGCAAAGTCCAACCTCTCGTCATGAGCGGAAGCTTCGGCTTGCGATCTCCAGTAATGGTTTTCACATGATCATCTGCCTCTGGAATGACTCGAGCTGCAAGTATGGACAGCTTGCCTCGATCGGTGCGCCATTTCATACGGAATGGCTGTTGTTGAAGGGCCACCTCGTGTTTCTGAGAGATGAACCCCTCAGTAGAGGTGTGAGCTGTTGCAGCGGAAATGGTGAAATATGCGTCACTGTATACGGAAGCCATCTTCGAGGCCTCCTTTTCCCAGTCTTCAGCGGAGTCCTGAATGATACAAATCGCATCTACCCAGAGGTATTTCAAGCCAAGCCCTCTTGTGATTTTCACAGCGTCTCTGACCGTCTGTGGAAAGTCATCTACATTGAGGACTTTCTTGTGATCGTCGATAGTTCCTTTTGTGGTCACAAAATTCCCGCTCTTGCCCCAACAGTAACTGAGCGCGGTGTAGGGAGTTGGGTGAATGCCAGCGGTTTCAACCAGTCGTACCTGGGTATCTTCCGCATTGCCGACATATATGACTCTTGTTGGCATCGTTGGGGATTGAGGCTTGCAGAAAGGGTGGTTTTCGTCACAGTTCCGGATGCAGCAACGAATGAATTCAGCCGTTTGATCAACATCTCCAGAGGTACTCATCTCGTAGCCCTGTGTGATGCCATCCCAGACAGGAGGGTATCCTAAGAGTCATCGTCAGACCGGTGCATATGGCTGCCATGCTAAGTAAGCTTACCAGTAGGGGTGTAGAATTGTACAGTGACACGTGCCATGGGCACGCTCAGCTGACAACCTCCTCTCTTGAACATGAAGAGAACAACTCGCTGACAATGTAAAGGAGATAGTTTAAGACGGTCAAGAGTTTGAACAATAGCAGTACACCAGCGGCATCCATCGGCGGAACCAGTCTCAAAGTCATGCTTTGAGCGAATGAAGGTACGGAACTCGGTGCGCTGGTACCCAGCCTTGACGGGCGTTTGTTTGACACGAAGATTGTGACACCATTCGCACGGTTTCGGAATCGTAACTGGACCGAACTTAAGCTTTTGAACGCACGCGATGGTAGTCCAGAACTGCGACGCTGGGAGTGTGTTAGGAAAAGAGATTGACTGGAGTCTTCAACATCGTACGTACCGGTGAGCCGTGGGCCTCCGACCTTCGCTATCAAGGTAGTAGTCGACATCTCGAGAGCTGAAATAGACGACGCGGTGAAGCAACGGTTGAAAATTGGAAAATAGCTTGTAGATCAAAGTCACGAAAAGAGTATGCTTCAGAATGTTACAACAGTGAAATGACTTGTTTGAGTTGTATCGATGAATTTCATGTGTTGCACAACTCTAGTACAGGGGCAACCACAAGCATGTCATGCTGTGTCAATTTATATCAATCCCACTTGGCTGCTGAGAGATCTCAGCGAAGCTAGTCCCCGGCCTGATCCAACATTCTCTTACGACACTGTTTCCGCCAAATCGAATTCTGTTTAGCCGCCAGACTCAAGATGTCTCATGTTGTTGTTAGTTCCAACTTCCAGCTCATCAAATGCATTTTAGTGGAGCAAACAAGCCCCTTCTCCCAATCAAGAGCTGTCTTGACCAAGATGCGCCGTCCAAATCCAGACTAGCTTCAAGAGGTTCGACATGATGTTGACTGTTGGTAAGAACATCAAATCAACTGACAGGGTCTGAATCCGTAAGCGCTACGCATCCGCGCGCGCCTACAGAAACCAAAAAAAAACACCATTGGTCTCCATCGTCCATCACAACACATCAAAGTTTGAGATTTCTGTTGGTTTGCACGAACTTCACTACTGCGGCTGATCACCCAAGTCTTCAATCGCCCTTTTGCATGGTAGATCGAGGATAGCCAGGTAGAGTACATCCTTTCGTCTCAATTAGCTGAATGATTCAGTCAATACATACTTGGGCGCTGCGCTTACCTTTTGGAAAAGACCCTTGAAGACATCACTTGGAATGCTTGAAGAACCAGCTTTCTTCTTCGCCTTCTGGGATTGACCTTTGCCCGCGAGTCCCCCAACATGGTCATCTTCCACGTCGTGAATTCTGGCTTTGCTGTTTGATTTCGTTCCATCATCTTTCTCAACACTGTTTGTACTGGTCTCCTTCACTTTGTGACTTCTTAGGCCAACGATCTCATCCGCCCTCTCCTGATGGTCTGCCGTCTCGCTGGTTTCGTCATCGATCTTCTTTCCTTGCTCCGCATTGTGAATGCATGTACCTCTCTTTTCCCCTTCCTTTATGTTCTTCTTGCTTTCCTCCTTCTTCTTCTTTTCGTCTCTCTTCACTCTCTCAGAATCCTTCTGAACCCGCTTCTCCGGCTTTTTGCTGGACTCGGCTTTCTCATCTGTACTTGCAAGCTTCCAGCGACCTCCTGTGAATAAAGAGACAAGGTCACCACTAGATACTTGATGATTCGGGTCAGCGTATCGTGACTTGAACTTTGGTTGCGGCATCAAGTTCATCCTTGAGTGATCCTTGTTCTCGTCGATCCAGGTAGCTTGAGCGCGTTTGTCTGAGTGGTCGTTGATCCAATCTTCCATTCTGTCCCAAGTGTTCTTCTTTTTTGCTTCAACATCAGCCTTTTTGGGATTGCTCTTAGGGTCCGGGAAGATAAGGGGCGCCGGCTCAGGCCAACTGAAGTCGCCACGAGTGGGCTTCATCAAGTCACCCATCTGTGTCTTCAACTCTTGCCAGCCCTTTGAAGGCTTCTTTTTCCCTGCGACAACATCTGAGATTTCCTGCTTTAAATCAGGCTTGGTTTGTAGCGCATTCACTTCCTCCACAAAATTGTTTGCGAATGGGCCGCAGTCGTTGTCGGGCTGCCATGTAACAACGAGGCAGACCAACCCTCGTGGAATAAAGAAGTCTGCATTGACGCAGTTCAAGAACTTGTTGGAGCAGTATAGACTTTGTCCCTCCATGGCGGCCACGGTGGCAGCCTCAAGGGCGAATCCAAAGAGCAGCGATGCAGGATCTGGCAGTGCTTCTCCTGCAAAGCCCGCCAAATTGACGGCACTGATCCAAGGGTTGGGTTCCAGTGACTTATTGAGGGTATCGATAAAGTCGAGGAAAGTATCTTGATTGATATTAAAGTCGACTAGCATTGGTGCGTAGGCTTGTATGAAACCCCGCGCTCGCTTCTCGGGCCGTCTCTGGGGCACAAGCACTGGCAAAGAGAGTCTCTGCCCATCCTCAGAACTTCCAGTAATATTCAACGGGTGTCGCTTGATGAAAGCCAATGCAAGATCATCTGTGTCTTGAGAAGGTGGCGAAGTTGACTCGGGCGTTGTTGCTCCAAGGTCAGTGGTGTTCGCTAATCCCGTTCCTTCATCAAGCTGTATCGGGGTAGACTCCGCGTTGCTGATACTGTCTGGCTGGCTTGAGGGATTTTCTGGATTTAGTACTCTGGACTTCTTCTCTTTCCTGTGATGTAAGGCTTCAGAGATGGTACCAATACCTGCAGCCGCCGATTGGGCAATCTCTTCCACCAGGCCATGCTGTTTTCCACTGCTAATCCCTCCAGTCTTTACGACGACCTTATACCGTTCTTTCAAAACGCTTTGCACCAAGCTGGCGGCTGTTTGGGAGGCCACCTTTCTGCTTTCACTACCTATGGTAGCCAACATATTCGTACTCGGCTGAGTATCATCTGGGAAAGAAAGACCGTGATTTTGGAACGTTTGGAAGGCTTGTCTCCAAATGTTGGTGAATACTGCAGAGAGGTCGATTGCTTTTAGATTGAAGACTGGAAGAGGGTGAAATCTGCTAGTCAGATTGCAAGATCATATCGCGTCACTCGTCAATCTAGAGGGTGAAGTGGTCTTGTACGAAACTGTGTTTTTAGGAACTTCGTAGTTTTTTAAACTGCCTTAGGTAACGTGCAGGTAACAGCATCCTTTGTGGCTGTGAATTCGCACTCGCTTTTGCAGCAAATCTCGAGGTTGACACCCTATCAGCTCCTGCTTGGCATGTCAGCAGCCAAGAGTGATGGGCAGTCCGCGGGATGCGGAGACGGGACCAACAAGCGGCAGGGGATAGAGCCACCGAATAGTCCACAATAAGGTCATTCGATCTGGTCTAGGCGCCCAGCTTCCTATCAGATCGACTTGGGTGGAAGTGTGGGACTGCATTATGGTGTCCTTTTTCCAACTCTCGGTGTGCTAGTAACTTGGAATTTCAATAATGCAGCAAACTTGTCTCGATAATAAGAACGGAAAACGATTGATGATAATAGTGAATTTGAGAAACTAAATGTAAATGATGATCTGACTCAAGTTGGTGCATTGAAATGCGTATTGAACAAAAGCGAAACATATTCAGTCAAGTCCAACTGTCTGTGGAACTTGGTTTCAACACCCGGACCCCATCCCATGTGAGCGCTGTTTGCGCAATCATTGGACCTATCGTTCCGGAAACCAATGATGCAGTGATCAAGCCGAAGGATTGTGATGTCAATGTGATTACCACTGGCATGAACCGCCGCAGTGCACGCTGCCATCGGTAGAGGTGCCAGAGACAGCCCAGCTTCCCGTTCCAACCAGGTTGGAACCGATCAAACCACCCCAGTCGACACCCTTGTTGCCACGAGGGAAGTTGACAGTAACTCTGCAACCGATTCCCTGAATGCCAGCAATTGCTTGGTTGCTGAAGCCGGCCTCTTCGCCTCTACAGTTGCCGGCATAGTTGACGAAGGTGCTGTCGATGGCTGCCTTGAGATTATCGCGGTTGACGCTGTTGCAGGAGCCCGGGTGATCGATGGTGACAGTGACACGCTCGCAGTGATCGCAGGCTTTGCGCCAGCAACGGGGCTCGAGAGCCCCCGCGAGAGATGGGAAGGCGGTGCTGAAGCCGTAGAAGAGGAAGAGAGTGGTGAGGATGAGAAGAACGGGGCGGCTGAAGTGTGCCATTGTGACTTTGTTGTGTAAGGTAGGGGGGTTAAGAGAAATCTTGAGTAAAGCTTGGAGTTGGGAGTGTGCGGTGGTAGTTTTCTGCTGTTATGGACAATATTTTTGTTTTCGTTGGGAGCTTTCTGGGCGTTATATACGCAGGTCTTATGCAATGTTGTATGCAATCTGTTCATGACACTCATGATCATTACTTGACAAATCGTAAGCGCAACTCCACGAACACAATTGTCTTCTCCGAGTTCAAATCCAAACTCGTATTCTCTTTGATTGCCCAACATCCTATGAGATTCTCGCCAGTGTCCACGTTGTTGCGTTGCTTCACAACGATCCCGAACTCAGTCATCGTGAAGACTATGGCTAATTCTTCTCTATTATATGGCTGAATCCCGAGCAGCCGATAAATATGACAGAGTTTGATGACAGCAAGTCCTCGTGGAGTTATTGAGAGATTCTGAGTGGACAGTACAAAGCCCAGGCCATAGTTCATCCGTCTTTGACTTTTTGAGTTCGCGCATGGATCGTCAAGGAGTCAGTTGCGGCTCGGATGTTCGGCTGCATCTTGACTCGCCGACATGTCAACTGGCTAGCTACACACTGATTTACCTAATTCTGGAATGAAATTAAATGTGAGAAGCTTTTTATTTTCCGATAAACTCTCTTGGAAGTTCCACAACAAGCTCAATAGAACGAACGAGCGTTGTTGGCCAATAAGGAGTGGACTGTAATGCGCGTGGCAAGGAAGCATCTCGTGATGAATCAGTTCAGTGCAGACGTCGGGGCCCATGGAGCAGCGACATGATGGCAACCAGCCATACATTCCCAATAGTGGTAGAACATACTACATATCAGTTGTCTTGAGCTTGCAAGTATCGCGATATATCAAAGATTTAATATAAATAGCACCAGTAGCCTCGTTTCCTCGTGAACACTTTTCGACATCGACAACAACCTTTCCCACAATCTCATCACCAAAGTATTTGAATCTTCTTCGAGTCAAACTTTTTAAAATGCATTTCAGCTCCTTCATCGCCTGCCTTGTTTTGGCACCCCTGGCTCTGGCCATCCCAGCTGAGTTGCCTTCTGCGGAAGGTGCTTTGGCCCTGAGAGCTGCTGAGAACATTGAGATCCCGAAGGACCTCCCTGATGATTGGAAGACTGCCCTCGAGGCTTACTTCAAAGGTATCGTCATTTCAAATTGGAATGAAGTTTTGGTGATGGAAGAGATCCTTTGAAGAGTACAAAACTGACAACTCTGCTAGACACCGATTTGGACCTTGAGAACAGAGATCTCGACAAGAGGAGCAACGTGCCGTTCATGCACTGTGGCTGGCGTCGCTTTTTTAGTAAGAGAGTCCCTCGTCTCACATTTCCTGTCCTTTACTGACACCTGCTAAGGCTGCCTTGGATCTGTTACCCCGGGTGGTGTCACCTGCATGTGGGCGATCGCTGCTCGCGGACTCGGTAAGCATTTCCACCGTGATGTCGCCCCTCTATTTACTCGGATTCACGCCTCCGACAGCACCTTAACCAGGTACTCAGGGTGAAACAATAACAACAGCGGAAAACAATCCCTCTTGCCAATTGCTAATCTGGAATTTGAAAACAGATGTGAAGGAAGATTCCAAATGCTCAGCCGCTGTTGTAGCCACTATTTTGTCAGCTGTTAGTCATCTCGATCGTTCTCGATTCAGTCAGAAGGCTTACAAACTCTCTAGTCAAACAACTGCAAGTTGTGTGTCAATGGTCACCTCTGAAAAGAGGTTTCGAGGCCCTTTGGTAGTATTTCCGTGATTGAAAGTTTTCATGAAGTAGGTGATCGGAAAGGGTTGGATTTGCGATTCTGGTCGTTTGGAGCTCAACATACACTTCTCTGCTGATTTCATCAGCCCTATTTGTGATTTCACATGAAGATATTGTTGCAATTAAATCTCAACATCTATGAACATGCTGTATTGGGCCATAGTTTCTATCAATTAGCAGCTCAACCAATTCATCCCGATTACCCAACTACCAATACCATTTAGGGCCGATGTTGCCTCAATAATTGTGCATAGTCTATACCATGGATGATGAGGACAAAGTGATTAGTCCATTGTAGATAAATCATCATACCGGCCTTTATTCGGCTCGGCAGCTATGAAGCGGGGCTATTCTCCATCAGTGCTGCCCAAACAGATAATCGTTTTCTAGCTAAGCTGTTGTCTCAAGCTGTCCGTGAGGAGGGTACCACGGGGCCAAGCGGTTTAGAAAGCTGGCACACCCCCATTTGGATGCGCGATCGAGGTAAGTTCCGTGAGAGAATGAGAATACTACGTTTCTTTGTCGAAATTTCTCAGCAATGGCCGAGATTTTGAGAATACTCGTAGGGCAGCTCGTGCTATTGGGCCAAGGATATAAATTAACCGTGTGGAGGTTGGGAAGCCAATTGGCTAAACGCGCCAGCTCCAAGACATCTTCATGCATCGTTTCATGCATGCATGTGATTTCTATAGTCTCCAGTCTGCCTGGGAGAATGTTGCCTAGGGACTGTCGCCCGTCGTAGCAGAAGCTATCCAGTCCCAAGTATGTGAGAGTTTCGAAATGTCGCATGGATTCCAGCTGCTCCCGACGGCCTGAACGGAAGACATTTTCCATAATGTTTAATTCCAAAGACTCTAACGTATTTGCGTGAGGTCTGAGTGCATCCAGTATCGACCCAGCGGTGATATCGGCAGTTTCTCGCGTCCGAGGACGCCATCCATACATGTTCCAGGTGGCTGGTCGATACTTGAAACCTTTCAGTGGTCCACAGGAATGGACCAATGAAGACAACATCTCAGGTCCTATCTCTGTCCCGTTTAGATTGAGGTATTCAATGTTGCGCAGGTGAAAGGTTGCGTTTGCCATGTCGATAGATGTTGGCAACGGTATAACCAGCTCAGTATCTAAATAGGTGATGTTTGGCGCGATTTGACAAAGAGCTTGTAAAATACTAGAGCTCCATTTTTGGGATGCTGCGGGTGCTTCCATTGCTTGGATTGCCACGATTCGTAAATGTGGCAAGCTCCCTGGTCGTCCATTTGTCCTAAGATAGGCCCAATTACCTACTATGTGCGTTGAGCTAGGACAATGAGACCTCATTGATAGTCTTCTCAGTTGTGTCAGCCGTATGATAAGGTACTGCGCTAGAATAATGGCGAACTGCAAGGTCAAGGTGGAATACCGGAGCATTCGAAGCGTGGGTGCCAACGATACAAGTTCCAAGTCTAGGTTTCTTGATGATTCGTGGACAGTCGTTCGGCGGTAGCTCAGATAGTCTGCATTATGTATCTCAAGAGTCAGGTCTCTCACATGCACAGCCAGGAGAGAATTCCGCCGGGTCGTCAATATAAATTGTATCAGTCTTCTCAAGCTGGGTTCCTCTCTGCTGATGCGAAATTGAAATCGCTGATAGAGCACAGCTGTTCCAATAGCGTGCAAAAGCTTCGATGCTCGACAGAGTGACGCAAGACTTTTGAGGGGTTTCCCGAAGTGACGCGAATCTGTAGAACATACGTTGTCTAGGCTTTTGCAAATTTCCATAAGTAATTCGGGTGGGAGTCTCTCCAGGGAACTTCTATGCAGTGCATTGCTCTGGGGACACTGGCGGTCCATCTCGTTGAACTTTTCGGGTATTTTTGGTTGTAGTTCCTGTCGAGGTCACAAAATAGGATGGAAGTATTTTGAGACGCCGAGGCTAGGGTTGTAATGAGTAAAACAAGAAATGGTATTGGAAAACGTGGTCGCTCGTGAAAGGTAAGGTGCTTAAGTGCGGAAAGATTGAGTATCGGAGATGCGGGTGTATACTAACGACGGAAGTTTTGGAGTGATTCTTAAGCGCCGAGAACTTTAATATCCACAACATATGTATGTCGGATGACTGAACTGTGCACCTCTTTGGCGCGCATCATGAAATCCTCGCCGCCATTGACCAGATCATGGATGAACTCGTGGCGCGCCTCCATCTCCAATTGTTTCATCACGACCTAGGTCGTGCAATATTTTGTTTTTCTTTTTCCCTACATCAGGTATTGGTGATATCTAGATGATGATTTTCTCTTTATAAATCCTTTCTCACCTCGGTGCCAGATTTCACTTGATAGGTTTCCACCTCCGTCTACGTGTTTTGCACAAAGTACTCCCCTATAGACGTGTTTGACGATATCATTCTGAAGCTGAAGTACTCAAAAACTTAATAATTCCAGGAGAAGTGTGGGCAAACTTGCGATTCCATATTTCGGATCTCCCCCAAACAATGGTTGCATCGCTCGTCAAGTATCATTGAGTAGTCTGGACGTATTGTCTTAATTGCAACCCACTGGCCCGTACGCTAGCTTCCAACCCTCTTCAGAACTAAAAGTGCGGAGTGTGTTTATTCAAGCTAGTATGCTGTGTGTTTACTCACCTACCTTATGCCAGGCTGTCGGTGAATTTTACTTTATGTACACTTTGAATACAACGGCAAGATGTGAGTATGATGACTATAATTTTGACTACGGCATCTTCTCAAGTTTGAATTTAAAGCTGTAAAGTTTTGATGGTTGATGCTCTTTCACAATATATGCAAGACCATCTCGGATGGCTCAGGACCGTCCTCAGGAGCTCATGGTTTGTTTTTATGGCGAAGTTTGAGAGACCTTACTGAGACACCAGAGACGGCGCTCTCATTTCTTACCAAAGGATATAACCGGTGCCAGTGGTGTTGTGATCACATAAACGTAGCGAGATGTTAAATCGGGCGGGAAATAGTTCCCGATCGGGATTGTATTTGCAGACAAGATCCTCAACTAAGTCTCCGTACCTAGAGCTTCACAGTGAGATTGTACTCCCTGAGTGCCATTACCTTAGTCCAAATGCCTAATTCCATCTATTAAGGTTTCCCGTATTACGCGGTTGAAACTCTACACACCATTCTGACGAGGCCATTGTGTCCGCACTAGTAATAATGCGAGACCGAGGTCAGTTATTCGCCAATAGACCCCAGGGATTTTGGCCCATACGCGATGATGCTTGCGCTTTCCTCCGTGACTCCCTAGTACCTTTGTCCACTGAATCATGAAGCTATCCACCCCGTTTGAAAGTCAAATCACGAACCAATGACTCGAGTCAACATAATGCCTTCTAACGAGCATGTTCAAGTCCGCTCTTTCCGAACATGTGGATGCGGAAGAAATGGCAGTTCTCACATCTATAAGTAGGGCGGTTAGTCTGCCAAGTAAAGCTTCTAGTAGTAAGCGGAATCACAAATATTTGTAAAGAGCCTTTGCTATTGACCTCAACTTGCCCTACAACCCGCCTTCGACAAGAAACTCAATACGAAACCTAGGACACCATGTAGGTCAACATTTTCTCCATCTTCACGGTTATGAGCGCTCTCGTCGCATCTTCTCTGGGTAAGTTGGCAACTACCTAGGATTCATCCACTATCTTTAAGGTCTTTGAACCCTTGCTAATTCGATTCCCTCTATTAGCTTGCACGCCAGCTGGCGGTAGGTTTCCTTCGTGCCATCGCAGATGACGATGGCCTCGACCCATCCTGGCCGACTAATTACTTGCATAACAGGCGATTGTACTGTTGGAAGTAGTGATTGCTGTCTCAACGCCGAATGCAGACGTAAGTCTTGATCCTTCCAGTCTGATCTAGAGGTCTTAATCCTAATCCAACATTACCTTAGCCCATGTGTCTGGACGTTCTGACGGTACCTGTGGCCATTGATGGATTCTCTTGAAGAAGGATTAACTTGCCAAGCCATATGATCGTCGTATGTTGTATGACCGCCCGTGTGGTATTCAACTGAAGGATGCGAGAGAGGTACTTGTACAAATCATGACATGGCCTCCAAGGCTTTGTGGGCTTCCGTAAACACGCCTAATTGTCGAAATACCTATTGATCTCTTAACCTTTTCCATTAATCACTATCTCGCAACTCTCTGGAGTTACACAAGATATATTCTCTCGATCGAGTGAAATATCCCTTTGGCTGTAACTTAAGCTTAGAAAGTACCGACACTCGTTTGAAGTATTCTAGCACATCGTGGAGGTGGTTCTTGTCCTTCTCCGGTTTTGGCAGGTTTCCGCGGATGAACACCAAACAATCGGCAGCTGCTCCACGGCCTCGGAGGGGTTCGTTGTGGTACCATCAAGGTGCTTTCCTTGGCATGAAAAGAACATTACCTTATGTGGAATTCCACGGAGCTTGATTTGAAAGCACCTCCGGCTGGTTGCGCAAACCTAGTCTGAAAGAAGATACAGTTTTTACGTCCGGTATTTAAAAGAAACGCCAAGTGGTGTACAGAAGTCAGACCCAAACACCAAAGCTTGAATAATTAACTACACCCCGTGTGATGACCAAGTCCTCGAACCTCAAACATCCAAAACACCAGCCTTCAACAATGTCCAAAAACATCAAGACAATCTCAACGTCAGAATATGACGAAGTCATCAAGACAGTCCAACTCTATGTCGACAGTGTCGCAAAAGCAGATCGCGCCCTGCTCGACCTTGCATTCCACAAGGACGCAACAATGACCGGCTGGATCCCGGCCGACGGCACGCTCTCGTTAGGCTCGTACACCAACCTTCAGGCATTCTTCGACACATACGGCACAAGCGCGTCCCTCAAGACCCGTTGCGACGTCATTGGTATTACGCCCACGACCGCCGTCGTCAAGGTGGACATGGAAAACACCCCCGATGGACCGGCCTACACAGACTTTCACACGTTGATCAAGGTTGATGGGGGTTGGAAAATTATCGCAAAGGTTTTTCACGCTTATGAATCTTAATGAGTAGACTCAGTGTATCTATCTGCTATCTTGAAGTCTACTTATCCCAAGGAAAGTTGTTGGTGCAATTTCCCCAGTAGCGCTGCTCCCTGACGCCGAAGCAAACCAACTTGCCATGGTCGTTACCGATAAAGTCGTTCTACACATATCTTTAGCACCAAAATCATATCATCACTCTTAAAACCTTTTTCCCCGTGACTTACCAACTCGATCTCAGCCTCCACACGCTCATGCTTCGCCCCATGCCTAGGCATAGGCCAGCACTTGCAGCTATACACGGTCGGCTTCTCTGGATCCTTGAGCCCACAATCCTCACACGTGCGCCAGAACCCCCCATTCTTGCGCGGGATTAGCTTCCCGCGCGCGTTCTCGATACACTGGCCTAGACGAAACCGATTCTGGATGCCGTAGCCGTGGGTCGTGTCGCAGCAGGCCCAAATAACTGCTGCTTCGCCTCCGTCGCCGTGGATTTCGGTGCAGCTTTGCTTAAAGCCCCAGTACGGGACTTCAGCCGGGCGGTTATGGGTGATTGGTTTGTTCGTGTCCTCATGCGTGCATGTGCAGTTGGACGGGGCTTGGGTTGGCGAGGGTTTGAGGAGGGAGTGGCCTGTCACCACGTCGATGGGAATGACTCCAATTGACGAAGGCTTGAGGGTTGAGTGAGCTGTAGTCACATTTATAGGCATGACTTCAATCGAAGAAGCCTTCGGAAGAGAGTGACATGTCGTCTCATTGATGGGGATTACTGAGAGCTGTTCGGCTTGACAGATGGCAGTCAACCCCACGACAACACAAACGTTAAGCTTCATGATGAAGGAAGTTAGATAGACTGGGAAATTTAAGTTTGAACAGACGGTTAAAGAGACGGTGGAGCGGAGAATGTTGTGAGAATCAAGCCAAGGTTGCAGTTCTTTGTTTTTATAAATGCAGGGAGATGGATTGAGTGAATGTTGAGGATGGGATTTGGCTATATTTAGGTAGTGAATCACAAAGACTGTGAGTTTTCAAGTTCAATCGACATTTTGGTGATGTGGTTGCACTCAACTGGCCCGTGGGAATGGAAGTCCATGAGCAATTCACCTTACATGCTCAACAAATATATTTACTTGATAGTTCATCCTCAATTATTCTAACAGACTAAATGATCTTGACCTTCACACCGTTCTCGGTCGCGGGAATCGGCACGCCCAAGTCATGGTCATACTCAACATCGCGCAAAGTAGTATCGTACAGCTTCATACGCGGAAAGACCCTCAGCACCAATGAAGTCAAAGCGATATATAACTCAGAGTATGCGAGTCTACGCAGAAGGTCAGTACAGATGAACAAGGAATTCGCAAGGGGTAGTCAAAAACTTACGGCATTCCCACACACTGTCGCGTTCCCTTGGAAAAGGGGATGAACCCAGCTTCCAACCCCCTCCTCCTCTGACCGTTCTCATCGATCCACCGCTCTGGTATAAACTCCTTGGCGTTCGGAAACATCCTCTCATCGAGATGTGAGATGATGGCGCTCATACTAACCGCCCACCCGCGGGGAATGACATGGCACACATCCACATCGACATCTGACCCTTCTGGCCTCCATTTCCCGCGATAGACGAGATCCTCCTCGGTAGCGACTCTGCCAGTGCGCATCGACCCGCCGGGCGCCAGCCGTAGACCCTCAGATATGACGGCATTCAGATACGGCAATGTTTCCAACGTCGGCCAGTTTGGCAGATGCTTCGGATCCTTGACCGCCCCTTGAAGCTCTTGTGTCAACCTTTCCAAGATTTTGGGGTTCGACAGGAGGTGAAAGCTGATCATTGTAAGCGTGTAGCTTGTTGTTTCCGTTCCTGCGGTTATCATGATGGCACCCTCGGACGTGAGTCGTGGAACCGTCTTTTCTTCGGGCGGGAGATCGGAGTCGAATAAGGCGGCGAAGACGTTAGGCGAGTGTTGGTATATATCTGTGCCTGTCACTTTGCGGTCTCTCGCCTTCTCTACGAGGGCTGGGATGACGGTCTGTGGTGCTTATTCATCAATCGCCGTTCTCGGAGTTCTTTCATACGTTTTGACCAAGGAACCCGAGTGAACTTACTGCGTAGGTATTGATGAAGATGGCCGTGTCCCTAGGTAGGTAATTCATGAGACTAGATAAGTCAGCTGTTATTGATGACTCTCGCTCCTGCAGGTATGCAACTGCACTTACTACGGCCCAGCATTCATAACGATCTTCGTCCACGGAAAGAACTTGAATAGGAACGTATGAACCAGTGCCCCATAAACAGCCGAACGATAATTAGGCGTCCACTCCTTCTGCTCAAGAAATCCAAACGACTCGCCAAAGCAGTACTCGGTAATCACGTCCGTCGTAAAGCAGCTATAGGCGTCTTGCAAAGGCACGACCTCGCCATCAGGACCAGCAAATGAGAGAAGCTTGTCGCAGAGCTTTTGCGCTGATGCGTGGACTTGCGGCTCGAGCTTGAGCATCTGCTGCCGGGAGAAGAACTTGCCGACGGCGGCTCGCCGTCTGCGGTGTAGATCGTGGTCAAGGGTGCCAAATGTAGCGAAGGTTGCGCTGTGATGGGAGTCAGAGTCGAGCAAGCTAGATGCATGAGAATTACTGGTGGGAGTTATACGGGTCTGGTAGGTTGATCATGTGGTGGATGTGCTTGTCCCTCTTTCTCCCGTTGATGGCGTAGACTTCGTCGGTGAAGCGGACGTCGTTGCAGTGCACCTCGTCAGGGTTGATACGGACTATGGGTCCTAGATTATTCTCCATCAGCCGATGTATCTGAGGGAAATTGAGTCTCACGACAACATGAATCACGTACCGTAGATTTGGTGCATCTTGACAATCTCATAGGTATACCGCCCCTTCTTCACGAAATCGTACCAGCACTCGGGAGCATACGAAGCGGCAGCCAGTTTGGGACCAGGAAACTTGCTGAGGGGGTGTAGAGGCGAGACATTGTAGATGGCGCGCCCTAGACAACAGGTAATCCATATGACGAGGAGCGTAGCTGCACACTGCCACGACAGGACGGACGTCGGCGTGATAGCCTCAGGGATGGAACTCATCTTCACGAAAAAGTGAGATGGAAGCCCAGAAATGTTGCAATTCTCTAAACTCTGCTACGATTTGCCTCTCCCACGATGTTTTTACAAGCCCTCGATGCCCCCCGCATCACGAGGAGACGACTTGATGCAAGCCAGGCGATGTTGTGGAACGTAAGCGAGCTAAGGATGACAGCGGGTTCAAAAACGTTGCATTCCGGGCTGCGGTCCGCTTTGTACTGCGGAGCTAACATGGGTGCCCGTCAATGAGGAAAGTCGGATTGGTTATCGCGTATTCGTCCGCTGGGTAGAAGTCCGAAAACGTAGATGTGACCGCTGCATGAGGATTGGCGACATGAATAGCATGCCTGAACGAGGCAGGCGGACTGTCTATCGTGCACGTGGAGACGGGGGTATCCAAATACATGCACGGTATCGTTCATGCTCTTCACACCGGTCGTAGACCGCGATTCTTCACAGAGTCTTGTGATCTTGTCATTATCCTACTTGAAATTAAACTATCGAGTACCTTCTTGACGTTGCATTCGATGGAAAAAGTTCCTGGCCGACGAATTCGATGTCGCCGCTCGGTGCTCTCGAAGGGCCCAAATATCGTATATGTCGTCACTCTGTTGTTCCAAAAGCGATGTAAACGCGGCGAAGAGACGGTTTACACGGTGCTTGGGGGCTTCTTCAAGAGTTTGTGGTTTCTTGATCGGCCCAAGCCCCTCGAGTCGATTAGCCAAGCCATCGCCGTGGTCATCGTCGAGGGTCAGCTCTCCCTCAGGCTGATTTTTAGTGGGAAACTTGATGATGCCGAATCGGGTCTCGCATTCAATGAAACCCAGATTCAGCATATTCATTCCGTCTCCATCCCCTTGCAAGAAGCAATCTATCAGCAGCCGCCACAGCCTGATCGGAGTCCTCAGCTCCGAGTCCTTGATAGAAGTGTAGAACGGTATTGCATGCCAATACTTTTTGCCGTCCCTTCGACCGTCCCGACGCCAATCGTTGAAATGTATCGCCATCTCCCCGATCCTCTGACACGACCCGAGTAGCCGAGCAACGTCCCGGGCCTTAGCCCAGTGACAAAGAAACGGAACGTCCCACTGCCGCCAGAAGGCTTCTACATCGTAAATCGGATCCTCTCCAAATCGAGCTCTGCGCGTCCCCGGCAGCGAATACAGTGGCGCCTCGTTGACGAACCAGGGGCCGTCGAAGCGGACGTGAACCATGTTGATCTGTTGTGCTTCGCGGAGAACGTCAAAGACTGGGTTGTCCATGTCGTTTACGTCGAAGCATCGCGCTTTGTCGATACGCTCGTAAAAGTGAATACATTTTTCGGGCACTGTGCACTCGGGCTCGACTGCCAACGATAGCCAGGCGTCTCTTCGACACGTAGTCGTGATGACGATGGTGAGATCCGGGATTTCGCCATTTGAGTTTTGGTGGAAGAGGAATGAGGAGAATTCTTGCGAGAGGCGTTTGCTGCAGCTGAGGATGCCTGTTGTCGGCCCGGACCTCTCTCGGTTTGGCGGGCATGGTGGCGGGGTGCAGATCAGTTTCCATATCTTGTTGCGGATTTCTCCAGGTAATTTGTCCAGTAAAGAAGTCTCGGCCATGTTTGCGATGTCTGAGTATCTTGGTATCGAAGAAAATGAATTATTTGTGGGTCAAAAAGTGCGAGAATATGTTTTCGATATCGGGGTGATCCGAAGATTATTGTTGTTGAGGTCAGAGAGCGCTTAGGATATCGAACAAGTAATGCCCCGTCCTCGAGAGGTATATGAGAAACCCAAGGTACCCCCATCTTCGCGTCCATGACAATAAATCAGAAACTTTAAACTCTAGCTTTTTGTCCACCTTGGTAGACTGAGGACAGTTTTCAACTATCAAGGTTAAAGAAGCCGTTTGGGAGATGTCCAAGTCAACCGGCAACTACACGGCAGGTGTCCATCACGATCCGGTCTGACTTCTACGGTTTCTCTAAAAGTTCGAGATGAGTCCGAATCAAAGTTGGAACAGTCTGTACAAACAGAGGTCTTCAGATGTTCCTTGAAGTTAGTGCAATGCTGTGGCTCTTGAAGTTTCTTGTGAGACGTCTCTCCAGGCAGCAGAGCCCCCACGTGATCTAGCAGCAGGCGACCGCCCGCCACGTGACCTTCACAATCTGCTCCCAACCGAAGCTGAGTGCTCACTCACGAGTGAAACGACGATGCTTCATTTGCATCTTGTGATATCTCCATGTCAGAGAGGAAAGCAAATTGAGCCAAATCTTTGATAACAAAGTTGACACCAGGCGCAAAACATGGGCTCTACCACCCAGAACTCGCCCCTCCTCCAGCTCCCCCCAGAGCTCCGCAACACAATCTGGGCCCTCGTCGCCGCGCCCCTCCCCGTCGACTTTGAATTCAACTGCGACGAGCAGCCCGTCCTAGGCCTCATCAACACCTGCAAGCAAACAGCTCGCGAACTCGCGCCGCACTTGTTTCCCCGCAGCAAAGCGGGCGAGATACCCTGCCTCACCATCCGCATCACGGCGACATGTCGCAAGGACCAGTGGATCACCATCGCCGCGTCGCATAGCGTGAAGAGCGCGGATTTCCCGGCGCCGCGGTATATTCATGTTAATCATATGGATAACCCCGTGTTCGACGAGCTGCGAGACGCGGACAAGATTGAGAATGTGTTTGTGGAGTTTCGGGGGCCGTGGTTTCCGGCTGATGCGCCGTGGTATTCACCACACCATGTTCCTAGAAAGACGAGCGGGTTTCGCTTCATGATGATTGACAAGAATGTACGTTATCTTTCTACCCAGATCCGAAGTTCACTAGTATGTTTTCGAGTTCACGACACTCTCACTTGATTTCCGTTTCCGCCTAACTTCATGGTCCCGAATCCATGCATGATTCAACATGTCACATCATATCGACTAACATACCCCAGAATCGAGGATGCCAAGGTGAACCCATCCTCGACACCGAAAAGTTCTGGCGCCAGTGGAACGCGCCGTTCCTCTGCCACTGGGCAAAGGCCAACGACGTGGCGCGCCTCCTCGGCTCCCTCAAGGCCATAGGAACCCTCAACATCAAGTTCATAGACTGGGAAAAGAACTACATGATGGTCAGGCAGCGTATTCTACCCATGTACTGGGACGCCTTCCCCTTCGGAGGGCAGTGGAAGCGCCTCGGCATCCCAGAGTTGCTCCTCACGCCTTTCAACCGCGGCGAGAACATCCCGAACCTGGTCGATGAGCAGCGCGTACTGACGCGGTTCGGAGCCCTGGATCTCAGCAGGCCGACGCGGGAGGATGAGCCTCTGGAGTGCGACCCTCATCCGGATAGGCCGCTTCGAGGGTCAGCAATGCGTTTGGATCGGCTTGCACCTCTATTCTTTTACCGTGGCGGGCTCTCTTCCGCCACCGAGGCTGGACATCTGAACGTGAACTTTGGGGATTTGGAAGACCGATTCCTGTCGCTGCTGGAAAAGGTGGGGGAGGAGCACTACGATACGTGGGCATTGCAGCAGCATCGAGAGGCGACGCGCCATACTTCACTCAACAATTTCTTCCAACGGATCGCCCACCGGGTGAATCGTGATGATTCAGATTCACCCGCCAGTCAATCGTAAGGGATGCAAGGGTAGAAGTTGGACGCACGATCCGGCCATGAGTTCTGGCAGGTCTTGAAGTCATATGGACCGCGAGATATACCCCTTCTATCAAAAACTCAGATCGAAGGCGGTCAGAAAGACGTCCAACAATCAGACGGCCGGACCTGAAGTGCCTATCTACTGCTCACTCGCCACTTCCAACTTGGTCCAGGCACTTGGCAGTGAGACGCTGTGATAAGCAGGCTCCAACCCTCCAAGGGTCGTGCTGACCGCATGGTCAGACAGTGAAGGTGCCTGTAATCTGTAGTGCTGCAGTCTGCAGTGCTGCACTCTGCAACCCACGCCGTCTTACGGCAAAAGTCGGCTAATTGAATCGGCACTGGCCCATTCAGGAAATCTCAATCCACCTCGGGTCGTGATCTAGAGCTCGTGGCATCAGGGAGGCAGACAGGTGCACGAGCAAATGTGCAAGACAGCCACAACCGCAGGGACGGAAAGGACGCGTGTGAAGCTGTCGTCGCTTGTCTCTGGCATTGGTCTGGTCCCATCCCAAAGTGTCAGCTGTTCAGCTAGCCTAGCTAGAGATTGCCGGTCGATCCGTCCCTTTGGGATGAAAGCACCTAAAATAGGTGACGAAAAAGACGACAAGAAGAAAGTCAGAAACGCTAGGGCAGACAAGCACCTCCGTAAACCTCAGCGTCTGAGCGACACCACGTTGCGAGTCAATAAGAAGCAAGGCCTGATAGGGTCACTGGTCAGTGTTCTAACGCCACGCGGTGAGGGTTGCGATGAGGCGTTCGATTGGGCTCTTAGCCTCTTGTCCATGAAGCGCTTCGTAGAAGTGCTGGTAGGGTGGTGCTGGGTGGCTTTTCGCTTCTTCTCTGCCGGGCGCCGTGCCGTCCGGCCCGTGGTGCGGGTGTGCCGATGTTTGTTGGTGCTTGTCGATTTTGGGAAGGACGGAGAGCCGGGGTGGTGCTGGGTAACTTCGGCTGAGGCGATGTAGGGGAGCTGAGGCTGCGTCGGTCGAGAAAAGGCAGTGCATTAGGGAGATGAGGTTCGTGAGATTGTGTGGCCTGATGAGAGAAAGATCATCATCCTGTAGTGGGAGCACCCATTGTAATTAGCAAGTCGTGGAAAACCGGGCAAACTTTGAACACCAGATTTCGACTGTGTTGCTGACCGAGATTGGTCGCTCGGTGAGGTCTCTTTGGGTGACAGGCTGCAAACCCCAGGCATGGAATCAATGGTCTACTGCAAGTCAGGCTTGACAAGCTCTTGGCGACGCTGGATATTGTCCGGGCGGAACATGTCCGGCCGGAGGAAAGTCAAAGGGGGAAAGACAAAAAAAGAACACCCTTAGACATTGCGGATGATAGGGGACCAATGAGACAGGAGTCAAGACAATAGCGACTCTCTGCCACAGAAGAAAGAATAGGAACAGGATGAGGAAACACCGCAAATTAGGGGGTTCGACGAATACGCAAACTGAGACCGGCAATGGGGAATTGGTGAGAAATTGACGCTCTAAGAGATACTGGCAGTGGGAACTAACAGCAGATAGAGCGAACAAAAGCAAGAATACGGCAGCCAGGAACGCCGAACAGCTAAGGACAGGTGACGTCTCGGCGATGGGTGGAATACGAGAAGCGCTAGCGAAGTACCTTTATGCCTTCGATCCATCCGTACGGAGTATGCTGTATGCTTATCGTGGGCGACGGTCTGATTGTTTGCCAACGCCGCTTCTCAAAGAGCCAGAGAGGGCAGCGAGAAAGAAACGGCAAAAGGCAAAGGGGCTTGAGTTTGCATAAGTGGCGTCTTGCTAGCGAGTAGCGGCATCTTCAGGTCCGATCTGTTCCTGGATTCCTTCGTTGGCGTCGTGGGTACCTGTACTATTCTGTTAGTGCATTGTTTGGTGTCTCTCTGCCGCCTGAAACGAACGGGGCCTTGGGCTCTTGATGTGTCGTTAGTTTGATGGCGCCGAAGTCTCACTCACTCACTCCACAGCAAGAATAACTGACACCATAAACCGACAAGAGTCACCGGGAAGACTTTTGCCAGGAACAAGGGCGTTGGCATTGCATGTCGAGATTGTCTTTGCAAAATGGACCTGTCTCTGCCAGACTCGCGTGCGTGTGGCGCTAGGCTTGAGGGAGATTAGGGGCAGCTGCAGGTCAGGTTACTTGGAGAGTGCTATTTCCAGCGTTGAGGCCTTGGCTTTTGGGGATTGGCTGCAATGCCAGTCGTGCAGCAGCAGCAGCAGCAGCAGCAGCCTGCTTTATGCTGTAAGACGCGCAGCCGGTGGCATGGCATCATGTATTGACTCTTGGGAAGATGTCTGCCGTATGCGTACTGTGTATCCGTATACTACGTAGGTGTGTCTGGCTGGTGTGCTTGGCAAACCGTTGGTGATTCAGGCTCGATGGGATATTGTTATCTGCTTGTCTGTTTTGTTGGGTTTTTGTTTTTCTTGCTTTGTTCGACGAGGCCCTGTTTCGCTACCAGTCCTTGGGGTCTTCTTCACGGGTCCCTGCAGCGAAGAGGGAGGATCATTCGGGTGCTGGCATAGACAAGCAAACACCAAGGTCGACTCTCGGACTGTGTACAAGGTATCTAGAGATGAACATGAGCAAGGTAGGCCAAAAGACAAGGACATCTCGGACCATAACACGAACCACTTTTGCGCGATGATTGTGGATTATGGAGATTCGGAGACTGTCAGGCTGATGATGGACGACAGGGACGAGGAGGTCAGCCACATGGAAGTGAGGAGGGATTCAGAGAGGAGCACAAAGAGCAGGAGGGCGATTGAGGGCCGACTCCAGCAAAAAAACATCCTGGCGGGGGCTGGTGGAGTCTGTCGGGTCATCGGCGATTAGACCGAGCCACTCTCGCAGCGCGCAGGTGGTGATGTGGGGCAAAGAACAGGGACGTACTGAGATACGTACTGTGAGAAGTGGAGACGGTCCACGGTGCCTCATTTTAACCGTATCTTGGGTGGGTACGTACCTGCTGCCTCTTTCTCTTTCAGGAAAGTCGTCAAAAACGCTGCATTTCTTCGCCCACACACACAACCTGAATCATCCCGGCACCAACACTCCCGTCTACTTGGGCTCTTCCCAGTCCCTACCTAGCACTGTTCCTGTGTTATTACATTCTGAAGATCCAACGACGAATACGAACGAATGCAGGTTCGCAATGCCCATCTCTCATCGCCGGTGTCTTTTCACGCCTCGGAGCTGCACCAGCTGGCGAGTCGCAATCCGTCAATCCCTCGATCCTTGAATTTCGTCCCATCATTGACTACCTTATCATCACACCCCTTCAGATCCGTCCATCCATCTATCCATCATGCCCTGCGTTGATGGCCAGTTGGACTTCGCGTCATCTATCCACAAGTAACCGTATTGAGCAGCCGTTTCCTTCCCGTCCGTCTCGCCGGGCGCCGTCGGACGCCTCCAAGCCTCACATCGTGTATCGCTCGGGCCACTGCCGAGTCTTCCATGTCTGTCCGCCCTTCCAAGCCGCTGCTTCAAGCCAGGCTCACCAGGGACAGGCAGACAAAGGCAGCCAGAGAAACGAGCAAAAATCATCCGAACCTTCTCGAGCTCCAACCCTTGGCCTGGCTGGGAATAGTGTGCCCCAAAACACCGGACGGCGTGGCGTTGGCAGCCTGCATACTTCCGCCGATCCCCAATAAAAGATACCACCATGTCACTGCAGCATTGCACCGCGGCATCGCGCGCGGCGCCAGCCAACGCCAGCGAAGCCGACACCCGTTGTCGTTGTCGTTGCATCGCAGCAAGCATGGCCTTCGTGTCGCCTTCTAGTGCTGAGGCTGGACTTTCTTCGTGCTCCCTTCCAGTATCCAAGGGCAGACGAGGCGGTGTCAATACCTACTTTTAGGTACCTTTTAGGCTCTTACTGTGTAGTATAGGCTCTCAGTGCGGTCGTCAGGGGCCTGCTCACCTTTCGTCGCCTCTCGCGAGTGACAAGCCGGCAGCTCGGATCACAGATCGAGACTTTGTGCTCTGTCATTCTCTCCAGACACCTATCAAAATACTCAAGAGCAGCACGGCGACTTCCAATGGCAAAGGCATTGGCACAGGGCCAAGCCAATGATAATATTGCTCGAGGCCAGCCTCGAACAGATCCACGACTGGCACATCCCCTCCATCCCCGGCCTCGCCTGCGCATACCTTGCCGCATATTGCATCCCAGACCTATCTAGCTTGCCCAGCTCCTGCGGCCTGGTGACAAGACGCCGGCTCACTGGTCAGATCCGTGCTGCCGTCCCCATCGACTGACCGTCCGGGGTGGTTTAGGACTTTAGGCCTGTCAGCTAGCTTTCGAGAACGGGCCGGGATGCGATGCATCATGGGTGGGCTTGCTGATGCCACGCCAATCATCCATGGGTCGGCCCTGCATGGGTCCCACGCTTCTCGTTGCCCGTGGGCGCAGTACTTCAGCAGCTTTTTGGAGCCGAACGCGCTCGAGAGCCAAAGATCCAATTTAGAGATAATATCGAGAGCCGCCCTCCCGTCTTTCCCTCCAGGCCGATGGTGTTCTGCTTTTTCCCATCCCCTCACACCAGTTTGTGCTTCCTTCGTTTAGAGCCAAACCGCCGCAACTTCGACCGGCCATCTCGCCAGTGAAGGTTACAAGCCACTCATCATGGCTTTCAAGACGTGGGTGATGACGGCCCTCATTGGCCTTGCCAATGGCCTGGCCTCAACAGACACCATCACCTGGGGAGGCGACAATTCGAGAGCCGGGTACCAGACGTAAGTTCAAGATCCATTCCCTCCATCCCCATATCTCTCTATACACATTCTCTGCCCGGCGTCGATCGTCTCCTCTGGCGATCCGCTCGGTGGGGGAAGAGCGAGGCCAGTCATGAAAACCAAGAAAACAGATCTAACGCAACATCCCATCATGAAGAAACCACAACATGGACCCTTCCGTCGTGGGGAGCTCCCAGTTCGGCCAGCTCTTCCGCACACCTCTGCCCGGTAAATATGGCGGCGTCGCAGAGCAGATTTTTTCTCAGCCACTCGTTTACACGCCTGACGGCGACAGCACGCAATACGTCTACGTCGCGACTACACAAAATAATGTCTACAAAATTAATGCAAAGACGGGCAGCATCATCGCTTCCCGCAGTCTCGCCATTCCCTTCTTGTCTGCCGATCTGGATGGCTGCTATGATATCGAACCTCACGTCGGAGTCACCTCCACTGGTGTGATTGATGCCTCGACCAACACCCTCTACCTCACCACCAAGACGTACGTCGACCAGACCTTGACCGGCGTTGCTCAAGGAAAACCCGCCGGCCGTTACTATCTCCATGCCCTGGATGTCAACGACCTTAGCGAGAAACCCAACTTCCCCGTCAACCTCGAAGGCACCGTAGCGAGAAACAACCCTATCCGCTCTTTCAATGGCGGTATCCATCATCAGCGACCTGCTCTGTTGCACGTCGGCAACTACATCTATGCTGGCTTTGCTTCTCACTGTGTCCAATACAACTTCACAGGTTGGATCATGGGCTTCGACAAGACTAGCGGTGCCAACGTCGAGCGTTTCGCTACCGAAGGTGACGGTGTCCCCGTGGATGTCAAGGGCGGTGGTGTCTGGATGTCTGGCGGCGGTCTCGCTTCCGACGACGCAGGTTCCTTGTTCTACGCTACTGGTAACGGATACGCCTCCCAGCTCAGCACCATTCCCGTCAACGGCCGCACGCCCCCGACATCTCTGGAAGAAGCCGCTGTTCACATGACAATCAACGCCGATGGAAGTTTGAGCTTGGTCGATTTCTTTATGCCATGGGAGAAGCAAGCTCTAGACGGCGCCGACAAGGACTTGGGAACGAGTCCTCTGCAAATTCTGCCCAGCACGTTCTCCTGTGGCGACGTCAAGCGCATTGGTGTGGTGACTGGAAAGAGTGGCAAGACGTACTGGCTCAACTTGGACGACTTGGGTGGCTACCGCAATGGCGCCAATGGCCTTGATAACGTGATCCAGGTGTACCAGAACGAGAACTC